CCACCGCCCCAAGTACATTCCACTATGCAACCTTAATTGTGGACTCTTGTGATAACCATAATAACCTATCATACATCACTTTTAAATTATTCAGTCCCTCATCTGTTTCAGTGCAGTATCAACAGGTAATAAATGCTCTTCCCTGAAAAGACTCTAAAAAATGACCTGAACCCAAAAGGAAAATTCACAGGGAATACAGATTTAATTTATTTCATAAACAACACTTTCAAAAACTAAGAAAATATTTACACTTAGTCATAATAATGAAAAATGACTGTATATAAACAGTAGAAGAGATTAAAAAAAATATGGCATATTTTACAATAAAATACTATGGGTAATGAAAAAGAATGAGTTACTGCTACATGCAAGGTATCGGAGAACAAAAGCAGACACGCGGCTTCCATGAGATGAGCTCTACAACAGGCGAATCTATTCAGCGGTGATACAAGCCATAAAAGCAGGTTCCTCTGTGGAGGGGAGACTCAACAGGGTGAGAGGGCTGGTAAAGCTCTATTTCTTGACCTGACTGTTAGTATGCACCCTGATAAGATTCATCAGAATGCATCCTTATTTATGCCCTCTGTGGATGTACATTTTCTCTGTCTCCGTGCACAACATATTATAAGCATATATATAGGACTTGATAGTTTTACCTCGTTTTCTGCTCTCAGGGCTGAAAACTCACTCTTCTCCAGAATAACCATATCCTTTTTCACATTAGCAATCTGAGACATGATTTGCTGAAGAGTGATCTCCTAGGAAAAGAAAAACAGAACATGTTAAGAGAGTCTATACCTCCTGCTTCTCTACAGAGGACCATCCTTCTAAGAAACAAGAATGTGGGCAGGAGGCAAACAAAGCTCGGGATGTCATCTTCTAGTCTAAAAGGTCAGAGGAATAAATCACATGACCAGGATCATCAGCAGGTGAGTGATAGTGGAGACGGTGGCAGTCTGAAGATTACTAACTCAAGAACTAATTCATTCTGGTCATATCTCCACCTACTTTAAAGTATGATGTTTTTACAAGGACAAGGATTCGACAAGAGCTGGCTAAATAACTTTTCCCCACTGTAATAATTTGTCTATCAATTAGGATTAAAATGACTAAGTACTTTTCAAACAAATGTTGTTATGTATTGGAGGGTCATATACAACTCATATTTCATATATGACCAGTGGGTTTTCAGAGGCAGTTAAAGTGCAAGGGAGGAGATAACCTACCTGTGAAGCACCTGGTGAATTTGAACTGCAAGCCTTTGATTAACAGTGCAACTCCTTACCATTAAGTCACCAGAGCTCCTTTCAGATGAATACTATCCTAAAAACTATAGTCCACAGTCAATGGTACCTTCAGATCTTGAATCTCCTAGGTCCTGACAGAGCTCACCTGCTGCACTTTATTGACCATGTCTTTGTAGACAACATCCAAGTTGGCCTCCGTGATCTTGACCAGCACAGACACAATGATCTCTGCTTGCTGAGTAGTGAACCCTAAATAAACACATAGACAAAACAATTACACTCCATGTATAATGCATGCACACATAATCAGGTAACTCTCTGACTTCTTTGGAGAGGGACATCATGCTTGGAAAGATGAACAGTGAGAGAGGAGAAGGCTCAACCAATGGACTGATCCAGTGACTACAGCAATTAGCTCAACTCTGACTTCAAAGTTGATGTGAAGCAGAGGGTGGAGGAAGATAAGAAGACTTAGGCTGTGATGTATTTATCATTCTAACAAAGTATGAACCATCTGTACCTATTCTTCATATAAAATAGTTGGCTGGGCTGAGTGGGAGACTCCATGGTGTAGTGGTTAAGTGCTTAGCGGCCAACCAAAAGGTTAGTGGTGCAAACCCACCAGCTGCTCTGTTGGAGAATGATGAAACAATCTACCTGGGTAAACATAACCTCCTTGGAAACTCTATGGATAGTTTTACTCTGAGGCTGGTGATGGTTTGGAATCCACTAGACAAGCAGTGGGTTTAACTGATTTGACTTATTTATTTTAACTATCCTAGAGGGAATGATATAGTCTCTCACTTTGGTTTGTTCTGGATGACTAATCTGACATCCTGTTACAACTGTGCTTTCAAAGAATGTCTGACATAGGGAATGCTTGCAGTACAATGCTGAAAGCAAAAACAAGCCTCAAAACTGTATTGCCTACATTTTCACAACAGACATGGCTTCCTTTACTGAAAGTTGTCCATATAACTTAAAAATCAAGGATGCATATATAATTTACAAATCATTTAGGCAGGAAAGTGTCCTTATTTTATACATAGAATAACTGGCTCAGCAGTCACTTAGCTGTTTGTTAATTTACCTAATGTTAGAAATAAAAATGCATTTTTATTTTTCCTCCATAGTTTTCTTCAATCATGAGTCTGGGGGCCCAGATAGGGTAAAATATATTTTTAGAAAAAAGGAATTCTTTCATAATCAACAGGAGCTCTGGTGGTGCTGTGGTTTAAGACTGCTGACCAGAAGCTTGGCGGTTTGAACCCACCAGCTACGCCATGGGGAAAGATGTGGTAATCCACCTCTATTAGGAGTTACAGCTTTAGAAATGACACAGAGGGCAGTTCTATTCTGTCTTACGGGATTGCCACAGAATCATATTGATAGAAGAGGTTATTTGTTTTGTTTTCATACTTAATAAAAAAAAGTCTTGAATTAAATTATAAAAAGATTCAACTCAGCAATATTATAGTTTTAATAATCTCAGGGAGTAGCTTATGTTTCAGATCAGAGATATTTATAAAATGCTTAAACCAAGTCCTTGGGAAACAAATTATTTCCATCTATATGAACTTCAGAAGAATCTATTGATTCGTACAAATAATTAATGGCACATTTATGTGGATTAATACTGTAACCAATATTATTTGTTTGGATGAAATTAAGCAAGTTGTTGTTGTTGTTGTTGTTGTTGTTGTTAAGTGCTGTCAAGTCGGAGGCAACTCATAGTGACTCTAGGAACGAAAGACCTGGGCAACCGGTACAACTTTCGTCCTTTCTCCAGGTTCATAGGGTTTCCAGAGTCAGGAGAAAAACTTCCAAAGACTTACTCTAATAGATTAAAAATATTTTCTTTTCCAATGTTTCACTCATATCTAGGAAAAACAACCAAGGGAAGAGACACCAAAATGTTAACAGCTCTGGCGCGCTGAGAGTAGAGGAATATTCCTGTTTTCCTTTTGCTTTTCTATCAGTGCTTGGAATTAGTTTAGTCATGATGAACACAGATCAGATCAGACCTGAAATTGTCCAATGTTGTTGCTTTTATGTGCCATAGGGTCGAAACGGACTCACAGCTGACCCCTCAGTGGGTTTTTGGAGGCAACAAATCTTACAGGAAGAGACTATTCTCCTTTCTGCTGTGCAGCAGCTGGTAGATTTGAACTATGTGCTTTTGAGATGGCAGTGTAGTTCCTTCCCGACTAGGCCAGAGCTCCCTTTGTCAAATGTGTGATGTAGAAAAAAATACAAGTTGATGCCCAGCTAGACATTTAGACTCTCTTCTAGAACATAAGGGTAGCATGCACACTGTATAGCCACTGAATCTCCTGATTGCTTTTTCTCAGCCATGACTGAACTGAAAAGGATTTGTTCAAAGTTCTCTTTTTGTTCTTCCTGGTTTTTCTAAAATGGACATTTTATTTTGTTAAAAAAAAAAAAAAGAGGAAAAGAAAAATAAGACCCAAAGAGACAGCTTATATGGATTATTTTTTTAACAAACCAAACAAAAAAAAACCCCTCCCCCAAAACCCAAAACCAAAAATAACTCAAACCAAAATAACTTTCCAAAACCTTCTATTTTATAATGACCACGGGCAGGAGCAAAGGTATAAGAAAAATCACAAATTAAAATTCAAAACCCATGGAGCTGCTAGACACAAATTTGTTTTTTGTGGGTATGAGGGCATGTGGGCATGATTTATCTGAAGAAGGGCTATCTGGGTCACAGGCATACAGATAGTATACTAATCAGGAGTCACCGTTTTGCAGAGAAAAGATACAGGATGTGATATGCCTTTAAGAGAGAGTCTTTCTAGTGTATCCCAACCCAGTCACTTCAGTACCAGATAAGGCTGAGTGTCTGGAAGTACTTCTACCTCCGTTTTTCAGAGTTGTTCTTCAATTATGGGTTTCAAACATGCAAAGATCTACTGGTCAACAGGAGAAAGACTTCTGCTTACCAAGATGTTTAGAAATACCCTTTCCTACTTCTACCTTGCCTTTTAAAAATGCAAACCTGAAGAGTTTTGCTGGAAAAGGTCTACTGTGTTTGATGCGCCACAATTTGCTGTGATCTGGCAGTCTCTGTAAAGTCAATGAAACATAAATAGATATTACTCTGGTACACCCTGCAGTTGAGAGTGCCTCCAAAGAATATTTATTTCAAATGAATCTCAAGAGTTCCTGCTATGAACATCCTGTTGTTGTTGTTATGTGTCCTTGAGTCGACTGTGACTCTGAACCCTACTCTATCCTGAGCCAATATCACTGTCTGCAACACACTTACCCCATTACCCCAGCTACTGTAACGGATCTTCATCCTGGATCTTCTCTCCTGTGCTGTCCTGCCACCCTGTTAAGTCCTTCTCCAAGGACTGGTCCCTCCTGGTCATGTGCCCTAAGTATGTGAGAAAGAGTTTCAAAATCCTGGTTTCCAAGGAGAAACTTAATTTCACCCTCTCCAGGAAAGATCTGTTTGTTCTTTTGGTAATCTGGGGTGTATTCAATACTCTTTACCATCACCAAAACTTGAAGGCATGGATTCTTTCTTCTGTCACCCTTAGTCACTATCCTGCTTGCTGATGTATATGACTATGACCTGGACCAGGCACACCTTAGTCTCTAGCCTGACATCATTGCACTTCAGCACTCTGGAGAGGTCCATGACAGATTTTCCCCTGTGTAATTCGTCTTTTGATTTCCTGACTGCTGGTGCCATGTGGACCCAAGCAAGCTGAAATTGTGAACAATCTCAATCTCTTCTCCATCTATCATGGTACTGCCAATTGGCCCAGTGGTAGCAAATTATTTCTTGCTGTTGAGTTTCCACCCATACTGAAGACTAAAGCCCTAGACTTTCTGTAGCAAATGCCTCATGTCCTCTTCAGTTTTGGCAAGGAAGGTTGTATCATCTGCAAGACACAGGTTGTTGACGAGTCTTTCTCTCAATCTGATGTCACATTCCTCCTCATCAACTCCAGCCTCCCAAATGATCTGTTCTGCATATAGATCAAAAGGTATGAAGAAAGGATGTGTCCCTGATGTACTCCTTTCCCGATTTGGAACCATTAGGTGTTTTCCTGCTGTTATGAGGACTACATCCTGGTCCAGGTATAGTTTTCACATAAGCACAATCAGGTGTTCTAGGACTCCCATTCTTCTCAATGTTAGCCATCATTTGTTGTGAGCCTTGCAGTCAAATGCCTTTGACTAGTCAATGAAACACAGATAGATATTCCTTTATTATTCTCTGCTTTCAGTCATGATCTATGTGACATTGGCTATGATGTCCCTAGTGTCACCACCTCTTCTAAACCCAGACTGTATTTCTGGTTATTCTCTGTAGATGTACTGTTCCAGTTGTTTTTGGGTAATCTTCAGCAGGATTTTGCTTCCATGTTTTATTAGTGATATAGTTCAGTAATTTCCACACTCTGTTGGATCACCTTTTTTTGGAGTGAGTATAAATATGGAACTCTTCCAGTCAGTTGTCCAGGTAGTTGTCCTCCAGATTTCTTGCCACAGCTTGGTAAGCACGTTTAGGGCAGCATCTGTCTGTTGAAATATGTCAAATGGTATACTATCAATTCTTGGTGCCTTGTTCTTTGCCAACTCATTCAGAGCAGTCTGAACTTCTTACATCATCACCACTGCCTCTTGGTCATATGTTGTTTCATGAAATTCTTCTGTGTCAGCCAGGTTTTTTTGGTACAGTGACTCTGGGTACTCCTTCCATCTTCTTTTGATGCTTCTTGATCACTCAATATTCAGCCCATAGCATCTTCAAGTATTGCAATTCAATGCTTGAATTTGTTCTTTAGTTCCTTCAGTTTAAGAAATGCTGAATTCATCTCTTTTCATTTTCTGACTCCAGCTCATTGCACGTTTCATTATAACACTCTAGTTTGTCTTCCTGAGCTGCCCTTTGAAATCTTCTGTTCAGTTCCTTTACTTCCTGATTTCTTCCCCTTGATCTGGTTGCTTGCCACTCTAGTGCAATATTCAGAGTCCCATCTCACATCCATCTTGGTCTTTTCTTCCTTCTCTGTCTCTGTAATGACCTTTTGCATTCTTCAGGGATGATATTCTTGATATTCTTCCACAGCTCACCTGGTCTTCCTTCACCAGTGCTCAAGGCCTCAAACTTGTTCTTGAGATGGCTTTTAAATTCAGGTGGGATAGACTCAAGGTCAAATTTTGGGTTTTGTGGATTTGTTTTAACAGATAAGGAAATGGAAATTGAGAAAGTCACAGCTAAGCTATGCAGGGAGAACTCGGCAAAGTCGAACTTGATCCCACACCTTCTACCTCTACCACATAAAAACAGAACATTCATTCTATCATCTTGTCTTAGGTATGGAAAGTGCTCATGAGTATGTCCCACTGGATCAGTTATGCAACGAAGTGAAAACATACATGCATTTATTTCAAAAGGTGCCGGGTTGGTGTAACTGGTTTGTGTTCAACAATTAAGCCATAGATTGGCAGTCTGAACTCAACCAGCTGTACCACAGAAGAAAGGCCTGCAACGGCTGCACCTTAGAAAACACTATGGAGCAGTGGTAGCCTGGAACACACAGGGTTGCTGATTCAGAACTAACCTGACCACAGTGGGTTTGATTTTGTTTTTCACTTCAAATATCAAGTTCACCTAACCTTTATTAACTAAAAATTCCAGGACTGTATGTCATAGGTATGTCACAGTGTAGAGAAGTATAACTGGAGTATGTTTAAGACAAGATTAAGTATGGAAATAGGACCTGTTTTACTGAAGGCATTTTCAGGGAACATCAAATGCCAAATGTTAAATCAACTCTACAGCAAAAAAGGCAAAACATTAACCTGAAATTGAAACAGCAATAATACATGCTGTGCCTTTCCTACTATAGGCATACTCTGGTTGTATATTATTTGCAGATATTGCAATTCCCCCCCCCCCCAAATTGACAGCTTGTGGAAACACTGCATCAGAATCAAGCTTATTGGTACCATTTCCTCAAAACCCCCCACTGGGTTGAAATTACCAGCAGATGCTGCCAAGCACCACTTCAATTTCATAAACTTTAAAATGCACAGATAATGTGTGTTAATGACTCTACCATCTTTGTGTTTCTGACCCATTTGCTATGGGACCTGTTCCTGAGCACTGGTGACTCATGTATGAATTCTTACCTAACGCTATGCCTATGCATTGAAGCTATTACATACACTTCACTTGGACAAGAACACATGTGAAAAGTCCCAACTGTACTGATGAAGTAAAAATGCTCTTAAACAAAAAAATTAAGACTTAATTTTTTTTAAAACAGAATAAAAGATTATCTGTAGACTGAAAGTTAAAAAGAAATAGGAGGACCCAGATAAAGTCATATGAGAGGACCAACTTTATAGTGCTTTGCTCTGGTACTGAGCAACTCAGCAATAACAGGAGATTACCATTTTCCTCCAATGAGCGCACTAAGGCGTGGGTGTCAAAGAAGAACTTCCTCTTCCCTGAAGAGGTGAAATCTCTCCTCCTGTGCTCCAGCTGCAGGCATCCGGCAGAGAGGCTGAGCTCTAGGACAGACAAGAAACCTGGTTCAGAAACAATGCTCTAAATGGCAATAAAAGCAACAGGGAAAAAGTATGGCACACTTCAGCAGGCTATTGGCTCTTTGATACTATAGTTTCCTTGACCCACAATTCAACTTATCCTGCTAAAAATGCACAATTCAGTGGCTTTTAGTATTTTTAACTGCATGACCACAACCAATCTTAGTACTTTTTAAAATGACAATCTATTTTCTGCAGTGGTTGTACCATTTAACATTCCCTCCCACCAACAATGTTATTATGTCCCATTGAGTCACCTGAGATACTGGTGACCCTATGTCCAATAGCTCTGAACCAAGTCCAATCCTGAGCCAAACTCTTCTCTTTCTGAAACACCTACACCCATTACTGGGTCAATCCATCTCACCCAGGGCCTTCTTCTCCTGCACTATCTACCCTCCCAAGCCTGAAGTCTTTCTCCAAGGATTGGTCCCTCCTGGCAAGATGACTCAAAGTATGCGAGATGGAGATTCTAAATCTTTGCTTCCAAAGAACAATTTGCTTCCACCCTCTTGAGGACAAACCAGCTCTCTTATGCAGAGCAAATAATTACAAGTACTATGGCCTGGATCAGGTGCACCTTAGTCTCTAGTTTGACATTTATCCATATTTCTCCATATCCTTGCCAACACTTACATTTTGCTTTTCTTACTGCAACATATACTGTGCCTTTCTTATTATACACATACTCTGGCTATATTATATTTTACAGGTATGGCCAATTTTTTTTCTCTCCCAAATTGATAGCTTGTGGCAACGCGGCCATCAGAGTCATGCTCACTGGCACCATTTCCCCACAAGCAAGTGCTCACTCTGCCTCTGTGCCACCTTTCTGACATTCCCATACTATTTCAAATATTTTCTTAATGCTCTTTGTTGCTCTTGATAGGTGCCATCAAACTGACTATGACTCACAGCAATCTTATGAACAAAACATCACAGCTATAGCCTATCTTACACCATCCTCATGATCTCTCTCATCCTCAATGCCAATCCATCTTGTTGAGGGTCTTTTTCTCTTTCTCTGGTCCTTTGCCTTCCCAGCATTATATCCTTTTTTTCAAAGACCGCCCCCTCCTTGATAGTATACTCAAAATATACGAGACTAAGTTTCACCACCCTTGCCTCTAAGGAGCTCACTGGTCACACTTCCTCCAAGACAGGCTTACTTGTTCTTCTGATGTCCATTCTCCAACTAAAACCTCAAAGGCATCAATTCTTCTTTGGTAATACTTATTCATCTTTCAGATACAAAACAAATAACTGAAAATACTATGGCTTAGTTTAGGCACACCTTAGTTTTTAAACTGACATCCTCGCTCTTCAGCACTTTGGAGAGGTCCTTGGCAGCAGATTTCTCTAATGTAACATGTCTTTTAATCTGATTGCTATTGTCATGAGTGTTGACTCTGGATTCAAGTAAACTGAAACAGTTCACAACTCCAATCTTTTCTCCATCTATCATGAGTGCTATTATCTATCATAATGCTTCTGCACACTTCCTAGACAACAGTATTGTATAATTCCTGTGACTTGCCTTATTGTTTTAATTACTTTGTTGCAGAGGTCTGGAATCAGGGAATGCTTGCACAATGACTGTCATCAGACTTTCTGAATCTTGTCAACCAGGAGAAGAAGAAGTCTTTTCTTTCTGGTTACAATCGGCATTTCTCAGTCTTATCTTCTCATGTACCTACTGGTCGTTTAGTTAATTTCCTCAGAGAAATATCTTTGAATCCTTTTGTCTTTTATGGTGTTGTCTCTGGGGGCACAAGTCCATAGGGAGTTGTCCTGTCATCCTGCCAACCCAAAGGTCATACCTGTCTGGAACTATCAAGATACCAGTGGTTTCAAGGGAAAAAGGCAATCTCCTCCCTTGCTATTTACAGCTTTGGAAATCCAATGGATGGCCAGCTACTAATTGTTTCCAAGTTGATGGCAATGAGTTTTGTAGTTTTATGATCAAAGAGGCCTTTGTAGTGTGGTCTGAAACGTTATCAAGCAGCTAACCAAAAGGTTGGCAGTTTGAATCTACCAGCTGTTCTAAAAGAGATAGACATACAGTCCCCTTTCACAATTTACAGCCTTCAGAAACCTGATGGAGGTTCAAACTGACTTGATAGCAGTAGTTTGCTTTGTCCTTTTCTGATTAAGTTGTCAGCGTTTTCTTATGAGATATGATCCTCTCATTTGATGGTTGTCTTCTCACTTCATTGTGGGTATACTTTATAGTAAAGGATTCAACAATTTTATTGATACCCAATTTTTGGGGTTCCCCCCTTGACGCTTGTGCTTCCAGCATTTAAGACATTAGCTAATTTAATTATACAACAATTTATGTTATTCTAAGCATTTTACAGATTTAGCTTTTACAGTTAAGACTTCAGTCGCTCTTAAGTTTGCATGCAGTGTGAGAGATTGCTCTGGGGCGCAGTCTAGACATCTCTCACTCACAATGATCACACCAGCAGGGAACGAATCCCTGCCCAATCTGCACCATCCTTACACCCTCTCCTGTGCCTCAGCCCATTGTTGTGGTTACTGTCAATCCAGCTCGTTCAGACAGAGGCTCAGTGTCATTCTTTTGTATATGACTTCCCAGTTGTCCCAGAGCTGTTCATTGAAAAGCATAAACTTTCCCCAGTAAACTTTACTGCCATCTTTGATCTTTGTGGGACATAACTGACTGTCAATTATGGTTCATCTCTGAACTTATGGCTGCCTTTACACCAGTATCACATTATTTTGATTATGGCAGCACTGCAGTAAGCTTTACTACAAATGCATCTGGTCAAATAGTGACAGGTTGATGTCATCTGTTCCAAATGTATGCCTTTCATTTAATTTTCTTCCCCTATGATGGCAAGACTTATTTTCTTTTTTCTGCTCTTGAGGAAAAACAATCACTCAGTATTTTACCAATAGGTATGATGTACCTATACCAGTTGATTCTAATTGATGTACCTATGATGTATGATGTACCTATGGCATTGATTCTAATTTAGGATAGCTCCGTATGTGCCAGATCAGAGCTGTGCTCCACAACATTTCCAATGACTGAATTCAATGAAGCAGATCATTATGTTTTTTTCTATAAGCCTCTTGAATGTGTCCAAGCCTCCAACCTTTTGGTCAGCTAACAAATATCCTAATTGTTTATACTCTCCAGGCAAGTATGACATTAGGTACACTCTCTCACAGATTGACAAAGTTAACCTTCAATGTAATCAAGATGTACTGGTAAATATCAGTGATTTGGAATGTGATAATGAAAACAAAAAAGGATTAGTAGTATGGAAGCAGGAGTGGCATCCACTTTCTGAACAACATGCCTCTGGAAACTCTATAAACTTTGGTTAAGGATGATAGTTATAGAAAGGCTTTAGGCCTTCTGTTCATATGGTTCCGATGAGTAGTGCTCAACTCAACAGCAATCAACAACAACAACAACAACACAGTTGGAAAATAATGGCTTGGTGACAGAAATTATGCCAGAGATCACAGGATATAATTTCTTACAATCATTAACTTATTCACTGCAATTATCTTTGTTCAAGGGAGCTCTGGTGGCTTAGAGGTAAGGAGCTGTGCTGCCAACCTAAAGGCACGTGGTTTGAATCTATTGGCTGTTCTACCAAAGAAAGAGAGGCAATCTCCTCCTATGCAATTTACTGCCTCTGAAAACCTGCTGGAGGATCAGATACCAGTTGCTCTGAACTTGATGGCACAAAACAAACATAACAATGCCCTTGGACATCACTGGACAGACTAGAAGAACAACGAACTACATCTGTGCAAAGAGACGATGGAGTTGCATAATAAAGTCAGTGAGAAAAAGGACAGGAGTCGAATATGGAAGAGATCATCACTGCTCACATCCAAGTTCAAGCTGAAGTTGAAGTAAATTATAAGACCACAAGTGCTAAAGTACAACTGTCAGTATATCCCATCTGAGAGACAATTTAAGAACTATATTTTTTCACACTGAACATTTAATGACTAAAGAGCAGAGGAGTGTGAGATGCCATCAAGGACATCATATATGAAGAAAGCAAGGGATGACTAAAGAGAGGAGAACAAAAAGATCAAATTGTGATGTGAGAAGAGATACTAATTTGCTCTAAGTACAGAGAAGTAAAACAAGAAGAAATGATGAAGTAAAAGGGCAGAAGAAAATTCAGAGGGCAGCTTGGGAATACAAAAGCAAAATATGATAAAGAAATGTATATAACATGGCATTAGAAGAATATACTGGTATTTCACAAGTTGAAATAAGTGAAGAAAAAAAATTCAAGCCTCAAGTTGCAATGCTGAAGGAATCTATGGACAAACTATTGTATAATGCAGAAAGATGACAGAAAGAAGGCAAAATCATGGTACCTAAAAGAACTGATGTTCATTTCAGAAGGCAGCATATGATCAAGAAGCGATGGTAGCAAAGGAAAAAAGTTTAGGTTGCACTGAAGGCATTCGTGGAAAACAAGGCTCCAGAAATTGACAATGTACCTATCTATAGAAATGTCTCAACAAACAGATACAGTGGTGGGGTACTCACCTGTCTGTGCTAGGAAAACTGGAAGACAGCTGGCCCACTGACTGGAAAGGATCCCTTTGTGCCCATTCCAAAGAAAGGTAATCCCTAAGAATGTAGAAATGACTGAACAATGTCATGAACAGCACAGATAAGTAAAATATTACTAGAGAACTGCAGTAGTACACTCTCTGGGGAAATCCAGATATTTAAGCCAGATTCAGAAGAAAGAACAGAAGAGGGGCTATCACTCCTAAAGTCTGATAGGATCTTAGCAGAAAGCAAAAATATCAGAAAAATATTCATCTCTGCCTTACTGAATATGCAAAGGCACTTGGCAGGGTAAATCACACAAATGAAGGAGAATTTTGGTGCACTTAATTGTGCTCAATGTGGAACTTATACACAGATCAGAGAGTCATTTGAGCAGAAC